TTACAAATCATTAACAATTTGGTGTCACTCTAGTGTAGAAGCAGATACTTTCACTAAGTCTATTGATTATATTAATAACAAGCTTGGTGTACATATAATTTGTATGCACAAGTTTGAGAGGAAATGTTAGATATATTATGTTTATTTTATCTTTATCTTTTATCTCTGGTTAATTTGTTATTATTACTTATTTGTATTTTGGGTTTAGTCCTTATTTTCTTCTATTATAAATAGAAATCATATATGTATATTCAAACAAAAATGAGAGATTATTCTATACATTGTTTTCACTATATTCAACATTTTTCATCAAAGAGCTACAAATTTTAAATAAAACTAACATAAAAAAATGTGAAACATGATTTTTGTGAAATCAAAAAATTAATTCAAAGCTATACTAGCTAGATATTTATCCTATTGTCATGCTTATTCCAAAAATATGTTAGCATGTAAATTTGGTCGATTATAAGTTGAATCTAATTTTTTTAATTTATAATTTTTTTTTCCATTTTTCAATGGTATCATATAAACCCTATGAAACATCCACTAAATTCTTCATAATAAAATCGATTGATTGTTTTTTTTAAGATCACTATGAATTACAATTTAAAAGAAAATTAGTATTACTTGCTTAGAATTAAATTAGCAACAACAATATGAAATGGCTGTGTAATTTTAAATTTTCCCAAAGGTTTTTTTATCTAGAGTTTTGATTCTTGAAATTTACAACTGTTTTAGCTTTATCTATAACTTCAAACATATAGGTTTTTGATTTTGGCATCTATAAGTCTTAATATTTTTGGTGTTATTTGACTCATTGCCCTCCCACCAAAAATTCAAACAAAGCCAAACTTTTTTCCTATGCGCCCCACAAAAATTCAAACAGCTAATTTCTTTCTTTCCAGAAGAGATAAAATAACTAACCATCTTTAAACAATAACCAACGTTTTGTATAAAAACTACAAATACAGAGTATGATCCCAAATTTATATATAAATTGAACAATTTTTTCGATAAAATAAATAAAAAGAATCCTTAAATATCAACTAACTTCATATAAAAATAAAAAAATATATACAAAAATTATATACTAATTTAAATTGTAGCTTCAATTTAAAAAAAAAATCATGAAACAACAATTAATTTTGTATTGAAAGATACAAATAAAATAACATAATAAAAGTTTATAATAAAGGGTATATACTAATGTAAATAATAACTGATTATTTAAAAGGTAAACAAATTGAAATTTAAACAAATTATTTTTTATAAAAAAAGTATAATAATATAAATGCAATAAGGGGGTGTCTCAATGAAACCACCAAGAAAGCATATTCATTAATGCTAAATATTAAGTTGTCCTATGTCACTCTATGCAAAAGGATTATTCTATATTATATGATAAAGTTTACTAAAGCACATTAGGTCAGGCAAATATAGAATTCTAAAATATTGTAAATTGGGGAAAAATGTTATAGTAAATTTGAGCTCCACTCGCTTTAGTGTGCTTCTTATCCTAGAACATAGCCTCTTCTTTACAATGAGTCTCTTTTTCGCAAGTATCACACATTAACATTTTCTTGTGTATTATTTTTCTTTCTTCTTTTCGTCTTTTTTACTTCTCAAAATGCTCTAAATTCTAATCAGTATGCACATTAATTCATTCTAATAACCCTTCGCCGCATTTTTTTTATGTATGTAGCTTCGTTTCGTTAACATGTGCACATGAATTATGCTCGACCAAATTGGATCACTAATCACACAATTCAACTGCGATTCAAGCTACGATTTGAGTTGTAAAACAATACCTCCAATGATATGTGCCTTGATCAGTAAGCCAAAAGAGACGGAATTGTTTGCAAGTGACATAATGGTTATTATTTGGAAACATTCATTTATGATTATCTTCTTAGAATAAATGTATTGTATTTTTCGTTAAGCAAGATAACTATTCATAATCATTAGTTAATGGTTGTTCTCCGTCGATTGCGACTGTTTGTCAGATAGTCAATTTACACGTCATAAGTAATAATTTTATTATATTATTAAGCGATTAAGATGATATCTTTACCCAAACCAACCGATGAATGTGAAATAATTTAAAGTAGAGAATCATTCTTATTAAACTCCTAAATAGATATTGAAGTTTGGATCGTAATTAGGCCAGCTATAAATGAAAATTCCATGCACAGTTTTTGTTAGAATCGTGCAAGGAAAAATCAAATCGTGGTTTGAAGAAAAAAAAAAGAGATAAATTGGTTTGGTATTAAAAATGTGCATTTTAAAAAAATCCCTTTTTTGTAAAATCTGTCTTAGTAATAACAATGAATTCTTTAAGATATTAGCACATAAATAGTGTAAGGAAAAAAAATTTGCAGAAATAATTTTATACTAGTTTAGATCAAAAGACATTAGGTCTAGTTATTAATCTTTTTATGAATTAACTCTAACACTAAAAATAAATTGAAATTACAAACAGAAGCAAGAACAATTTAGGATAGATACACCTCTTTTGAAGCCACAAGAGATGAAAGACACCTCCCTTGAAATCTACAAGGGATGAACACCTCTTTTGAGTCCCACTAAGGATGAAGACATCTTTATTGAATCACACAAGAGATCAACAAACACCTTCCTCAAACGATGATGTCAACTCATCGTTAGCATTATCCTCATCCATTTCGACCAAAAAGCTCCTCAGACAAAAAAAGATGAACAATTAACATTACTATCTTAAGTAGGAAATTGAACAACAAAAAAGAAGTAGAGGAAAAAAAAAGGTGAAATGACAGTCTCACCCCACCTATATTTGTAGAAATGGGTTGGCTTATCATCATGCGCCTATTGTTTAACTCCTCACATCTAAAAATGTCTAAAATGATCTAATTTTTACATTTTCTACAAGTGCAAGCTCGAAGTGCCCTAATAGTTGCCCTCAACATCATAAACCAACCCAACATGAACAGTGGGATAGTGAAGACAAATGGTGTGGAGTATTGGGCAGGCCAAAAACATAAACCCTTTGCAACCCTTAAGATACTCTAGCTGGAAGGTTTGAGTATGGTAATGTCCTACTTTGGTCCAACGATTGGCTCAACAGTCAACCTGTTGGACAACTGAAGGTGGTATTTTTAATCATAATTAATTGAGTGGTCCGAGATGACTTTTTTAATAGAAATACTAAGCAGTGAGGTGTACAACTTAAAGTAAAAACCATTCTACTTAAACCCCTGATCAAAATTTAGTGGAATTTGAACATAATTAGGTAAGTTATGAAAACTTATTTTCAAAAGTTATAAATAGAAGTCCAAAATAAAGTAGTAAATGAGACGTTAATTATACATTTATTACATTAACTTTTAGACCGAACTAACTCTAGTATCGAACACCTTTACAAGATATTCAGTGATAAGGAAACAACCTGGAAGCATTGGATAACCAATCCTTAAATTGAGATTGATCAACTGACATACAAAAACATTATCTTAAACAGTATTTTCCCTCCTTCCACTCCTTAAATAATATTACTGAAAAATACATTTTAAAGGATAACTATAATTTTCTTTTGTTGATTAACCGTTGAAATTATAATGTTTTATAGTGTTTTTTATGTTGAGAACGTTATATGTGAACAAAAAATGATTTTGTATAATTAAAATTTATACTAAATAAACACTTTTACATATGTAAACCATAAAAATGAGAAAAGCTAAAATTTATCTTTTCTTAATTAGTTGACTATTCCAGATAAGTTCTGGCATGAAATTTTATTAAATATCCTATAATTTGATCCAAACAAGTAATAATGCTTGATTTTCATGGAATAAGACGTCAACCACGATTATTGGGAAAGAAAAATTCAAACGGCCCTGTCCCTAAAAATTATGTTCTACTTTCTGAAACAAAGCAAATTTTGTACATTTTGACATTTCTGCTCACCAAAAGGTCACGCAAAAATTTATTCTGGAAAGTGCGTAATAATAGCTATAAACAAACGATGCAATTGGATTTGTAAGTGGTGCGAAGGGACAATTAAGTGTCACAGCGGAGTTACCCATATACTTACATATAAACAAACCAATCGTGGAACCGTTTGTTGTAGCTGAATCTATGGTCTTGTTCGTTTTTCTTATCTGAGGTATCTTTGTCCCTGTCCTATCTATCACACACTATATGGCTTTCGTCAATTTTCATTGCTCTTCCATGTTCCTTCACACCTGTTCCAAGTGAGTCTGCCCTTTAATTAATCTTCTTCTTGTTGTATATTCTCTTTTCTTTCCTTTTGCATACCCTTTTGCATGCCACATGCAAGAACGTACCCTTTATGGTTTTATCATGCGTATTCATGGGAAACATTGGGATTGATATATAAAAGCTAATCAAATGAACTACAAATCCTACATTAATCTATGCTGTTGAATCTACCCTATAATTTGAGAGCAAGAGTGAGATCAATGTGAAGTAAATAAATGGCGATTCCTTGCATTTTGTTGAATCATGAGTGATGATGTCAATATTTGCATGTAAAATTAATCAAGCTATGAGTTCTATTTCTTTTCTTTAAGTGCTATTATCGTATCCTAGGACATATAATTGCATGCACTTCTAATAGTGTTTTAAATGTACTTATCATTATTTGAATACGTTAATCCCAGGGGTCATGTTTAAGGTGACCCTGTCCTTAAGCAAGATATGTAGATAAGGTGGCGATTTTTCCAATGCAATAGAGTGCAATAATTCATCACACTGCACAAATTCCCAGGCTAGAGGTTGGCATCACTAGCAGGTTTCTATGTAGAAAACAACTCTAGCTCAGCCAAGTATCAATATGCATATGCAGCTTTTTTACTTATTGCAAGTTTATTCATTCTAATGTCCTTTGAGAATTGTTGTTACTTGGTTCTGATACTTCCACTTGTGTAATTGGATGGTTGCTTCTTCTGTTTAGAAGGCAGTGCATTGTAATTGGCGTGCCTCCACTCCGATGTAAATCTGATTTCATGTTGGATTATCCAATTAGAAAAGTGAAGTTCAGTTTCAAGGTTGACAAAGTGAGGGCTATAATATCTGGTGAAGGAGATCTGGTATCTCATCCTAATTGCACTAGTCCGAGACAATATGACTTACTTGACAAATTAGTAGAAGAACCTACCAGAATTAGCCCACAACTTGATACATTTGCTTTGGAAACTGTCTCTGATGAGATAAATCCTACAATCGATGGTTTCTTTGCTGATAGAAATGAACATGAACTTGATTGTCCATCACAAGGGTTTTCTTCTATCCCAGAGGCCATTGAAGATATTCGTCAAGGAAAGGTTGATAATTAGTCTGTAGATTTGTTGATCAATTCTCTAACCAAGAGCACCATGTTAAAAAATTTCACTCATTTGGAACAAATTTGTAGTTAGTTATTGTTGTAGATGATGAAGACAGAGAAAACGAGGGTGATCTAATAATGGCAGCATCAATGGTAACACCAAAAGCATTTGCATTTATTGTGAAGCATGGAACTGGGATAGTGTGTGTGAGCATGAAAGAACAAGATTTGGAGAGGTTGCAACTCCCATTGATGGTGACGCAGAAGAATAATGAAGAAAAACTCTGCACCGCATTCACAGTGACAGTGGTATATAGGTTTTTCATTCTTGATTCTTGATTGATAATGCTCTTGGAAGAAAAAACTAGAATAATGATATTTAAGCACATTTTTCTCTCTTATTTTTAAATATAACATTGACTTGATTTGTTCTGATACCAAAAGAACTGCATCGTATTATAGGATGCAAAGCAAGGCACTAGAACAGGAGTGTCTGCTGAAGATAGAGCAACAACAATCCTGAAACTTGCATCAAGAAATTCGAGGCCTGATGATTTCAATCGGCCAGGTCATATATTTCCTCTGAAGTACAGGGAAGGAGGGGTTCTTAAGAGACCTGGGCACACGGAAGCTTCAGTTGATCTTGCTGTGTTGGCTGGCGTGGAACCTGCTGCAGTTTTATGTGAGATAGTAGATGATGATGGTTCAATGGCCAGGTTACCAAAGCTTCGACAAATGGCAAAGCAAGAAAACCTGAAAATCATTTCCATTGCTGATTTAATAAGGTAATTTCTAAGAAATCACCAGTTACAGAATCATATAAAATT